TATATATATATATATATATATATATATATATATATATAAAAGATAAAACGATAGAAAAAGAAGAAGGGTTGGAGAGGAAGTGGAGAGTGTGTTTGGTAGTTAGGTGTAGTCCGTAGTAATTAGTCGTAGTATTTTGTAGTAATAGGGGGTAGACGCGCGAGCGCGCGCGCGCAACCCCTCCCCCTGAAAGAAAGGAAAAGTTCGCGCGCCAACGCAACGATACATACGTACATATGTGTACGTAATATTTACTCTTGTATATATTATATATATATATATATACTTACATACATATATATAAATATATATACACGCATATACGCATAAAAATCCGCAAAGAGACTTATATACAACGTAATACAAAAAATTTGTCCTCGTGCTCGTCTTCGATCAACGGACTCGTCGTCCACGTCTTCTTCCCCATTGTTTATCGTTGTTGCTGCTGTTTTTGTTGTTGGTTATTATTACCGTCAGAAAATAATTGAAAAGAAGAAATATATAAAGGAAGGAGAGAGAGAGAGAGAGAGAAAAAAAAATAAAAAAAAACGAGAATAGAATAGAATAAAATGGAATAGAATAGAAGGTGAAGGAAAAAAAAAATATATAGGCCGTGGTGGTTGGAAACCGTTAAAGCGAGTAAAGTAAACGCGCGCGTACTATCATCGTGTGCACGAGGAAGTGGTTGGAGGGGGTTTGGTTGATCGGTTGCTTGTGGACGACGTGTTGGAGGAGGAAGTGGTAGAAGACACGAGGAGGAAGAGGGGAAAGGTTGAACGGACGATGTTGCGGAGGTCAGGGAAGGAAACTTTGTTGAACGATTAAGATCTTAAGAAGAAACGAAGTTAAGAGCTAAACGAGAAGTAGGCGTAGGTGCTTGAGAAAGGTTAAAGGTGATAGAAAAAAAAAAGGAAAAAGAAGAAAAGGTGGAAGAGTAGGAGGAGGAAAGTGGAGAAGAAAAAGAGGAAGAAGAAGAAGAAGAAAAAGGGAATGCTTGATAAGAAAAATAGTCTGGCCGATGGACGAGCTGTGTAGTAGTCGTTGTCGTGGCTGCACGTTGCCGTCTCGATACGGAGGGACGCTGAGGTAAGAGTTCAACGAACGCCGACAATGCTCATGCTCGAAGACTCGCGGCAAGCGCGTGCTTCAACGATGTGCAGGTAGAGAAAAGCAGAAGACCGGGTAGAGGGGCTGAAAAAACAGGAAAGAGAACGAGGGGGAGTGACTGGGAGAGAGAGAGAAAGATAGGAAAAGACTTCGGTTTTCCTGGGTTAATGTCCTCTCGTTGGCGAACTTCATTTTCGTCTCGCTGTCTCTCTCTCTCTCTCTCTCTCTCTCACCCTCTATCTCATTTATTATTTTCTTCTCATTCTGAGTCTTTCGACACCCATGCATGGAAAGCTCGTCGAAGCTCGTCGATAAAGAGAAAAAACAAATACGAGTTTAAAGGAAATAACAACCGATATTGATATAAAAGTTTTTTATGTTTTTTTTTTATATTTTAAGGTATATAATACGATTTAAGAGTACGAATACAATATCGGTTAGCTAAAGGATTTTGCTAATATTTGTCACGAGATTATCATTTTTATAACACGAGAACATCCACCCTATTGCGATTGCAATGATTAGAGATGAAAATATTTTCCTTTGATACGCCGGATAAGTGGCAATTAAAAATTCACAAATTGAACAATCCGGGGGCGTTGTTTCCTCTTTGGATCTTTTTTTATCTGCATTAAAAAAGCGATTGAAAATTGATCATTTTAACTTCAAGAACGTTATGTGTCATACATTTATAATGCATGAAGTGCCTCTTTATTCTGCTTTTTTTTTTTTTTTTTATTTACTTATTTATTGTTTCCTGGTAAAACGAATAGAAAAAGACAAGAAAAGCGAGTATGTTATTTTTTGTTGTCTCGTCCTTGCAACACCAACCAAGAGAGCGTGACTCTCGTATGCCGTCGGCTTTAGTCGATAAGAGCGTAGACCTCCCCGATCGAACGTTCGAATCTCCGCCGGCCTTTTCCATTTAATCGACTACGAACTGTTTTTCCCTCTTCTCGTGTCGAGAAAGGAAAAGCGTATACATACTACATATATCCAACCGGCTTTAGCTTGTAACAGTCTTCAAACAGTGCTAAGAGTACCTAATATCGATGAGAATTGTCTTTATTCTTATCCTACCCTTTTAACTTTATTTACCTTTAATCGAGCCGTTTCATCATCTTACCCCATTCGGTATTCTTTTTTCGTTAAGACTTAAGCAATATGTTATTTCTCTAAACTTTTCCTTCTTTCTCTCCCTCTCTCTCTCTCTCTCTCTCTCTCTCTCTCTCTCTCTCTTTCTTTCTTTCATTCTTTTATCTCTTTTTTTATACCAGCTCGCTAAAAGCAAGAAATTATCGAGCAGCCAACGTTGAATGTAAAGACACGTCTAACCTTGACGTTAATATAAACGTTTTCTCTCCCTCGTCGTGCGTTCCTTGCCACCTATCGATCGTTCTTTTTTACATTATCATCTACGGGAAACGTTTTTTAACATACGATAAGAGAGAGAGAGAAAGAGAGATATAAAGCGAAAGAGCACTAACATTGTCCTTTAATAAACATCCAGCGTCAAAAAGTTTCTGTTTTCCTTTAACTCCATTATCTCGACCGGAACGCGACAAGCGGAAGGGATCAAGCGGAAGGAAATCTAAAAGCGATATCTCATGACCCTTTTTTTCTTCTTTTTTTTTCTTCTTCTTCTTCTTCTTCCTACTACTTTTTTTTCTTTTTTTATTTAAACACTGTTTATCTTTCGTTCCTCACACGATAAACATAGACACACATACACACACGTGGCAAAACTAGAGTTCCCGTTGCTTATCGTTGTTTCGAATCTAACGAAAATGACCGATCGATCGATCATCGTTAACCGGTTGCACCTAAATGCAGCTTCGTGTTCGTCATTCGTCGTTTGCATTCACGCACCGTCAAAGGTATTCCCTGCTATTTACTCTAAAGCGCGAATATCGACGAATTAATTACAAATTACCAAGCGGGCCCTTGTTTTTTTTCCCTCCTTGCCTTTTTTTCCTTCTCCGATTCGACTAACTCGATTCTACGCGCGTACTTTGAAACTTAGACTGAAATTATTTCTTCGTTCTTCTCTTTAATCTATTGCTTTTTCTTTCTTTTTTCTCTTTTCTTTTTATTTTTCTCTTTAATCTTTATTTTATTTTCAATTTATTCGCAATTTCGCGGGACACGCCTTTCATTCGTTTTAAATCGAATTATATTTCGTTACGAAAGAACACCCGTTCGTTCATCGACAGTCCATCATTATGATTGCTTCCTACTCCAATCACGCGAAGCTTCGGGATAATGGAACGTTTTTTGAGATAGAATGCACAAGAGAAAGAGAGAGAGAAAGAAAGAGATAGTCGGAAGTAAGATAAGTAGAACGAATGAGGTTTTTACCCTTACCAAAGTTGGCTCCCCTATCGAAAGGGGTGGTCGGTCTGCTTGCTGGCGTGAAAATAAATGGATGAAGATTTAGGGAGTGACTGAAAAAATCTTTGGAATGAATATGTTGTTGCGAGCAGGTAAACAAAAAGACACGGGGATTGAAAATTTGTCGATATAAAATAGTATTTTAATACCAAATTTGAAAATTTGTTAAATTCGGCGTGACCTTACGACACGATTAACCCCCTCCCCCTCCCCCATACGCACGTAAAAGATTTCCCGTTAGAGTCTTTGTTATTATTTTATACAAAATGAAACAGGATAATGTAACGTGCTTGGCTAATATCATCAACCGAAGTATAATTATCACGTAGGTTTAATACAATTTTCACGCTATAAACGATAGATGGGGTTTAGGTTTTTTTTATACAGAAAGTCACGTGAAAATAATACGATGTCCAAGAGCGTCGAAGGAAAAACCGTAATGCTCGTTAAATGACGAAGTCGTGTGCGATGATACACCGCGTCGATGAACTGGATAAGAGAAAAAAAAAAATAAAGAAAAAGAAAAATAACGGAGACGAGAAAAAAAAACGAAAAGTAGGATAAAAGCTAGTAGGTAGCTAGGCTAGGTAGCTGGCTAGAATGATAGACGAGACGTGTACGATGCACTGACCGATATTCTTCGAGAAACTCCGAAAGAAGTTTTTGACTCGACTTGTTTCTTCCTTCCTTCTTTCCTTCCTTCCTTCCTGCTTGCCTTCTTTTCGCGTCGAAGCAGTAGTCTCTGAAAAATAAAAGATGAGAAGACATTCTTTTGGCTTCCTCTTGTCTTCCCCTTTTTTCCGTTTCATGTCTTTCTTTTGGCAAAGAACTTTCTTCCCTGGTGAAATTTTCCTTTCCTCAACAGCTGCCTTCTTTCCAGCCGAACCTTATTTCCTTTCTCGGGGTTTTTCATATATATATATACACATACACTCACACATACACACACGAATTTACAAACGTACATGTAACAGACATACGGACAGACGCTCGCACACATATTACCATTACCGTATATGTTTTCTCTTCCATCTCCATATGATCCATTTCTTTTCTTTATTCCTATGGTCTTTTGTGAGCATACTTTACCAAAACTACAATGTTCATCCTTTATTTAATATACATTCCATTCGGCTTAACAAGATAATAAATATCTTTCAAGCCCTTATCTTCTATTTCGCTCGACCACTTTGCACCACGTTACCCTTTGTACTATTTCCTTGGATCCTCTTTTGCCTACCTCTCTTTTTTCTCTCTTTCTCGTGGTTGCGCAAAATTGAATTTCGCGAGAGATATACGAAACAAGAGAGGAAGAGGACGAGAAGAAAAAAGAAAAGAGAAAAAAGACATTGTCACGAATAAAATGTATACGTTCACTTTCTCTCTCTCTCGTTCTCTCATTTTCTTCCCCGAGAGCCACCCACCCATCGCAGTTACTTCTGATACGCGAAATAAAGAAAGAGAGAGAGAGAGAGAGAAAGAGAGAAAGAAAGAAACTCACTCGATTTATTTTTACCACCATTGGAGCCCGGCAATGCACCAAAAGAGTTTTTTGTTCGCCGTGAAAAGTGCGCCGCGAGGAAAAGGGTTACCACTGCGTCCCGCGGTCGCACGTAAATAGGAATAAAAGAAGAAGGAGAAAAAAAAAAAAGAAAAGGAAAGAAACGGTGTGGGAAGAAAATGTTTTTTCGCGCTCGTAAGGCTAGTCGAAAGTGGCTTTTTTTATTGCTTAGGTATATACCAAAAATCGTGTAATGAATAATTAAATGTAATTATAACGTCAAAAATATATATACATATATATTATATTATATCTGGTATATAATTGTGATGTGCACATTTCATTAAGAAAACTAGCTTTTTATTTTCTTTGCTTTTATTTCTTGTTATTTTTAATGACGTATTAACAAAGTTTCAAACAAAGGGGTTAACATTTTTACGAGATTTTGTGGGCCTGTAGTAAAGCGATGCAGCACGATTCGAATAAACTTACGTTTACTACATAAACTTACATAGATATATATATATATATAATTTATCTTTTCGTTTGAAACATTGTTGGAATAAAGTTTTTAACGCGGTAAGTTAGAAAAGTTCTACGAGATTTTTTAGCGAGTACGTGACTCGATTAGAAAAATAACTTATCGTTAGAGTTTCTTTTTTCTTTTTATAGAAGTATCCCTTTAAAATAGAGCGTTGTAACGGTGCCTTAAACAGGGGTAAAATTCTTTTTATGACAATTCGTTGGTAACACGTGGCACGGGACACGACGTCTCTCTCTCTCTCTCTCTCTCTCTCTCTCTCTCTGTTTCTTTTTCTTTCTCTTTCTCTTTCCTCTCTCGACAAAAATTAACGACCGTTTGGAGTCAGAAATAATGCCGTCCGTTCGAAAATTTACGAGCAGTACCGTAAATTATTCTGATCGATGCACCACCGCCACCACCGTTTCCACTGTTGCGATACGCGCCTATACTTGCCCATGTAAATTATGCTTCTCCCCCTCCTCCTCCCCCAACCCCTTTATCTTTCTCTTTCTCTCTTACTATTTCTCTCTTACTTTCTCGTAAAATTGTTACACAGCGATGTTA